TTTGCCGCCGCTCCGCTCCGCTCTCTGCCCCCCGCTCCCCGCTTTCCCCCCTGCGCGCGTCTCTTTCCCCCGGCCCGCTTCTCCTTCCCCGCTCTCCCTGCTGCCGCTCTGCCGCCTTGCCGCTCCCCGGCCCGCACTCGCCCGCGCCCCGCGCCCCCGCGCTCCCCTTCCTTGTCCGCGCCTCCCCCCTCTTCCCGTGCGCGTGCGCCCCGCCCCTCCGCGCGCTTCCCCGCCCCTCTTCTGCGCGTTCCTCCCGCCCGCTCCCCCGCGCCTACCCTCCCGTGCTTTCCTTGCTCTCTTCCCCGCGCGCCCCCCTCCGCGCTCTCCCGCGCCTCCTTCCCGCGTGTTTCCTCTTCCTCCCCGCGCCCTGCGCCTCCTTGCCGCTCCCCTCCCGCGTCTCCGCCGTTGGCCGCCCGCCCCCCCTTGTTTTGGCGCCCCCCCGCGCCGGGCGGCCCGTCGCCCGGCGCTGTGCCCTCCTGGCTTGTCCCCCCGGCGCTGTGCGCTCCGCCGCCGCCGTGTCGGCGGCCCTGGGCGTGCTTCGTGCGGGCTTTGTGCTCCCCGCCCTCGCTCCCGGGCTCCGTTTCTCCCGGCGTGTGGCCGCCGGGGGGCCCGTCCCGCGGCGTCGTGCCCTCCTGGGCTCGTCGCGCGGCGCCGTGCCCCCCGCCGCCGCCGTGTGGTGTCCCTGGGCGTGCTTCGTGCGGGCTTTGGTGCTCCCCGCCCTCGCTCCCGGCCCTTCCTTGTCTCTTGGCCCCCCGCCGTGGTGGCTCTCGTGCCTTGCTCTTGGCGCGCCGCGCCCGTGGCGTCGGCGGCTTCCCCCCCCTCGCGCCCCCCTCTCCTTGTCTTGTGTTCTTTCCTGCTTTCTTTCCTTCCTGCTCTTTCCTCTTGCTCTCCCGCGCTCTCTGCTCCCCTCTCCCCCCTTTCTCGTTTCTTTCTTTCCGCTGTGCCCCCTCCTCTCCCCCTCTCGTTCCGCGTTTTGGTTTCTCTCTGGCTTCGCCCTTGTTGTGCTGTGCGCCCCCGTTTGCCCGTCTCTTCCCGCCCCCCCCCCCCCCCTCTCGCCTTTCCCCTTCCCTCTTTTGGGCCCCCCCCTTGGTCTCCGCGGCCTGCTCGGTCTCTTTCGTCCCGTTCCTCCCCTTTGGTCTTCCCCCCCGTTGCCTCCTGGGTTCCCTGTTCTGCCTGCTCGCCCGCTCCCTTCTCCCCCGTGTGTGCCTTGGCTTCCTCTTTCCTCTCTCTCGTGCTGCTGCTGCCGCCCGCTTTCGCTCCCCTCTCTTCTTCTCTCTTGCTCCCTTTGCTGCTTGGCCCGTTCGTCTGCCGGTCCCTTCTCGGCTTTCCCCGCTGCCCTGTGGGCCGTTCTTTCCCTGGCCCTCTCGCCCTCTTCCCCGTCCTCCGGCGTTTGTTCTCTCCCGGCTGCTCCCCGTCCGTTCCCCCGCCCCCCCGGCCTGGCCCTCGGCCTGCTCGCCCGCGGCCTCCTCTTCGCCCTCTTGCCCCGGCTCTTCTCTTCCCCGCCGTTGCTGCTCCCTCTTTCCGCCGCTCCGCCCGTGTGCCTCCTGCTCCCGCACATCTGGGCCCCTCTCCTCCCGCTTGGCGCCGGCGCTGCCCCGCCCCCGCCCCTCGCTCCCCCTCGCCCTGCCAGACGTTTCGCCGCTTTCCCCATGCTCTCCCCTGCCCGTGTTGCCGCCCTGGCCGCTCGCCTGCTCCCCGTTCTTGGCGCGCTTCGTGCTCTTGGCCCCCTCTTCGCTCCCCCGCCCTTCCTCTCCCCCTCCTCCGCGGCTTCCCCTCTGCCTGGGCTCTGCCGGTTCCGGCTCTGCGCGCTCCCCGCGCTCTCCGCCTGTTGTCCCCGCCCCCTTCTTTCGTGCTCTCCCCGCCTCTGCGTTCGCCCTGCCGGCCCCGCTGCTGCTGTTCCTGCCGCTCGCCCTGCTGCTCTCCTGGCCGCCCCCCGTTCCCCTCCCGGTCCGTCGCCCTCCTGTTGCTTTTCTGCCTGCCGCCCCTTTGCTCTTTTTGTCCCCCCGTTTCGCCGGTTTCTGCGGCCCCGGCGCACCCCCCCTTCTGCTCGTGGCCCCTTCGTCTCTCGCCTCCCCCCCGCCGCCCCCGTCGCCGCCCCCCGGCTTTCGTGCTCCCTTGCCGCCCCCCCGGCCCTTTTCCCCTCCTTGTCCGTCTCCGCTCGTTCGCCCGTCTCCCGGCCCCCTGTTGCCTCTCCGCCGCCCCCCTCGCACCGCCCCCGGTTCCGCGCGCCCCCCGCCCCGCTCTCGTTGGCCCCGCCCCCCCCGCCCTGCTGCTTCGGCGGCTTCCTCCTCCGCGCATGCCCGTTCTCGTTCGCTGCTGCTCCGGCGCTCCTCTGCCCGTCCTTGCGTTGCAGTCCCCGTGCCGCTTGTCTTCTGGCTCTTGCCGCCGCGGCCGCCGCGGTCCTCTCCTTCTTTCCTTCTGTTCCTTCTCTCTTTTTCTCCGTGCCTCTCTTGCCCATCTCCTGCGCGCCCTGTCCCGCGCTTCTGCTCCCTCCTCCTCCCCTCCCGGCGCGCCCTCATCTTCTCCTTCTTGCCCCCGCCGCCCTGCCTCCCCCCTTGCCCGCTGCTTTCCTTGCCGTGCGTCCTTGCCGCCTGCCCCTCTTCCTCTTCCCGCCGCGTGTCCCGCCCGCGCGGTTCGCGCCCCTCCTCTTCGCGGCTCCTCTTGCTCCGTTCCCTTCCTTCGTCTCCCTTCTCGGCTCCCCTGGTGCGCCTGCCCCGCCCTCCGGCGCTCGCCCCGGCCTCTGGTTCTGCCTCCCCCTGTTCTCCCCCCCCTCCCCTCTGCCTCCTTCTCCTCCTCCTTTCCCTCCTCCCGTTCCCGTGGTCCCCTTTGTTCCCCGTCCGCCTCGCCCCTGCGCCCCGGCCTTGGCTCTCCCTCCCCGCCCCGTTGCCTGTTGCCCGGCCGCCCCCGTTTCTCCTCCGGCCCCGCCCCCCCCTTCTCCCCGCCCGCTCTGCCCCGCGTCCCGTGCCCCCCGCTTTCCTCGCCCCGCGGGCCGCTTTCTCGCCCTCCGTTGGGCGCTTTCTCCCCTCCCCCGGCTTGGTTGTGCCTCGCTGTCCTCTTTTTCTCGCCCCCCGCCCCCCTTCTCTTCCCCGGTGCCCCCTCTCCCCCTCCTTTTCCCCCCCGGCGCCCCCCCTCTTTTCTCCTGTGCGTTCTGCTTCTCGTGTCTCCCTGGTTCCCCTCGCCCTCCTCTTCCTTCCCTCCGCTCTCGGTGGGTTTGGTTCCCCCCCTCCCTCCCGTCCCGGCCCCCCGCCCGTCTGGGTCCCTCCCGTTCCTTCCTCTTTTTTGCCGGCTGTTTGGTCCCTCGCTCGTGGTTGCTCCCGCCCCCTGCCTCGCCTCCCTCCTCTCTCGTGCTTTCCCCGCCCTCGCTGGCCCCCCCGTTCTCTTCGGCGGCCCTCCCCTTCTGGCCTTCCCCCGGCGTTGGCCCGCTCCCGCCCCCTGGTTTGCCGCTTGCCGCTGTTTCTTTCGTTGCCGGCTTCCCTTCCTTTGTTTGCGCCCTCGTCCCTTTTGTGCTCCGGCTCTCTTGTCGCCTTTTCTCCCGCTCCTTGCCTCCTCCCCCTGCGCTCCCCCCATGCGCTTCTTTTCTCTGGCCCCGGCCGCCCGCCCTGTTCGTTGTTGCTTGGCGTCCCCGCCACGCTTCCGTGTGCTTCCTGGCGCCGCCTTCCCCTGCCGCTCACTTGGCCCTGGCCCCGCCCGCTCCCCCCCTTCCCTTCCCGCCGCTCTCCCTCCGCTTGCCCCGCCGCCTCTCGTCGCCGGCTTTGCCCGCTCTTCTCTTCCCGCCGGCCCCCGTGTGTGCTGCCTGCCCCGCGGCCCGCCCCTCCCCTCCTCCTTCCCCCCCCGCCCCCCGCGTCCCCGTCCCGCCCGCTCCGCTTCCTCCTCTGGCCTTCTTTGGCCCGGTTGCTCCCCTCCGTGTCCGTGGTCCGCCCTCTCCTCTCGTTGTTGTTGCTGCTTTTTCCCGGTCCCCTTGGCCCGTGTTTCTCCCGCCGCCCCCTGCCGTTGCGCCCGTTCTCCCGCCGCTGTTGCCGCCCCTCCCCCTGCGCCCGCCTTGCCCCTCTCCCCCCCGCCCGGCTCGCGGCCCGCGTTCGTGCCTGGCGTTCTCCCCGCTTTTTGCCCTTCCCCTGGCCTTTCTCCTCCCTTCTCTGCCGCCCGCCCCCGCCCCCCCCGGTGTTGCCGCCCGCCGCCCCCGGCCGCTCCCCCCGCCCGCCGTGCTGCTTCGTGCTGCGTCTCCCCCCCGCTCTTGGGCGGCCGCTCTCCCCCTGCTTGTTCCCCCCCTCGCCGCCTGCTCCCTCCGCCGTCCCGCCGCCGCCCTCTGCGCTCTCTCCCGGGCGCCCCCCCTCTTGGTTCTTTTCCTCTTTTTGGCTGCCCCTGTTTTCTTCCTCTTCCTGCTCCCTTGCCTCTCCCGCTTTTGCTGCGCGTGCCGCTGCCGGCCTTTTTCTCGGCTCTTCCGCTCCCCGCCCGGCGTTCCGCGTTTGCCTCCCCGCTCCCTGGTGGTTGCCGCCTCCCTCCCCGTGGTCTTTGCTGCCCCTCCCCGCTCCCCCTGCTGCCCTGGCCGCCGCCCTTGCCCCCCCTGGTCCCCCGTGTCCTCTTGCTTTTTGTGCTCCTCCTGCTCCGTGTGCCGCTGCTGTTTTGCCGGGCCTGGCTGCGTTGGCCCTTCCTTCTCTCGCCCCTCCCCCTCCTCCCCGCCGCCGTTGGCCCTTCTTTCCCTCCTCCTTTTGGGCGTGCTGCCTCCCGTGCCCTGGCGCTGCCGTCCCGTTGGTGCTCCCCTTCGTGCTCCCCTTGCCTGTGCCGTTGGTCCTCCCTTTCCCGCCCCTTTCCTTGCTGCCCTTCGCCCCCCCCCTGCCCGTCCCCCCCCCCTGGCTCCCCCCCGTCCCCTGCCCCCCTTTCCCCCCGCTTTCCGCTGGCTCCCCCCTCCCCTCCCCCTTCCTTCTTGGGCCTCTCCCTGCCGGCGTGCCCCCCCGCTCCTCTCCCCTGCCGCCTGTTCCCGTGTTCTCTCTCTCCCTTGCCCCCCCCCCTTGCCGCCGCTCTCTCCTGCTCCGGCTTGGCTCCCTGCTCTGCCCGCGGCGCTCGCTCCCCCCCCCCTGCCCTTGTTCCCCCCCCCCCCTGTTGTCGGCCCCCCTGGGTCTTCCGGCCCCCCCCCCGCCGCCGGCGTGCTTGTTCGGCCTCCCGCCCGGCTCGTTGCCCCCGGCTCCTCTCCCGCCGCCGGCCTTGCTTTTGCTGCCCCTTTTGCCCCGGTGGCCCGCCTTGCCGCCCTCCGCCTTTTCCTCGCCTCCGCCGCCCCCCCCCGCTTTCCCCGTTTCTCCCCCTGGCCGTGCCCCGCGCCTTCTTGCCTGGTCTCCTCGCCGCCGCCGTTTCTGTCGCCCCCCCCCCCGGTTTTGCGGTCCCCGGCGCCGGTGCTCCCGTCCCCCTTCCCCCGGCCTTGTCCCCCCCCCTCGCGCTTCTGCTCCTTTGTCCCTGTTCTTGCTCCGCTGTGGCTTCCCCCCGGCCTTGTTGCCCCCCTCTCTTTCGCCTTCCCGCTGGTGCTCCTCTTTTCTTCGTGCCCTCTCTGTTGCTGCTCTTCTTTTTGGCCGCCCTCCCCCTTCTTTGTGTGCGCCCTTTTCGCCGCTTCTGCCGCCTCCCTTCGCCCTGCGCCTGCTGGGTGCCTTGCCTTCCTTCTTGGGCTTCCCCGTCCCCCCCCTGCCCGCCGGCGTCTTCCTCCTCCCGCCCCGTCCCCCGGCCTTGCTCCCGCCGTTTGGCCTTGCTGGCCCTCCTCGCTCCCCTTCCCCTGCGCCCCTCCCTCGGCTCGCCCCCGCTGCCGCTGGCCCGGCTGTCGCTCCCCCCCCTCTCGCGGCCTGCTTGGTTCCCTTCTCTCTCTTCCTGCCCGCCGGCCGGCCCTTTCTTCTGCTGTGGGCGTGTGTGCCCGCTTCCCCGCCCCTCCCCCCCGCCCCTCCCCGCCCCCCGCCGCTCCTCCGCTCTCTGCCCGGCCCCCTCCCTGTTGGCTTGTGGTCTCCCCCCGGTCCCGCTTTTCCTCTCCCGGGTTTTTCCGCTGCGGCTTTTGCCGGTTGCCCCTCGCCCGCCCCGCCCTTCCGGGCCCTGCCCGTTCTTGGGGGCCGGCTTGTTTCTTGGTTCCCCCCCCCCCTTCCCTCGCCCCCGTCCCGTCCGCCGCGGCCGCCTCTCTTGCTGCCGGCCGTTGTTGTGCGCCCCTTTTGTGGCTGCCGCCCCCTTGCCGGCTTCCGGCGTTCCTTGTGCTGCCGTTCGTCTTTCTTGTGCTCCTCCTCGTGCCCTCGCTCTCCCTCCCCCTCCGGTGCTTCCCTCCCCCCCCCCTCTCGCCCTTCGCCCTCCTTTCTCCGGGCTCCCGTTGCCCCGCCCCTCTGCCGCTCGCCTCTCTCCCTCCGGCCCCCCCGTTGCTGCTCTTCTCCCGCCGCCTTTCTGCGCCCCGCGCTTTTCTCCCTTCCGGCCCGCGTTGGGCCTGCTCGCCC